CCCCAAAACCCCAAAACCCCAAAACCCCTAAATGATAATATTGACGAATTTGAGTCAGCAAAATTAATTTATTCTTAGAATTTAAACTTAGTCAAATGTCTGATAAAAAGAAAATAAGCATTCATTCGAATAAAATTTCAGTATTTTAGTTTTGGGTTTATTATTTAGCATGCAAGTATCACAAGCATGGAGTAGCAATTGAAAGGCAGTTAGGACACTCCGATAAGGTAGCACAACTTTGGAATTCTTGACAATTCTTTTGCTCATTAAGATAAGAGTGGGTATGATTTAGTATTAGATACCTAAGAGCGGTTACTTCAACCCTCTTTTATTAGTCGAAGAAAAGTAACTTTATCTAATAGGTATCTCTCAAATTAGACCAATCCAAGAAACGTCAGTCGTCCTTAAACAGCGCAGTAATCTAATATGACAAAAGTCAATCCAGAAGATCTGCAGATCCAGATTGCTAAGAGATCTAAGCTTATTTACGGAGTAGAAGATTATATGGCTTTCAAGAGAAAATTAAAGATGAAGGACTAGATGAAAAAGACCTATGATGGGAGGAGTTCAATGCATAATAGCTACCTAATTGAAGAAGATAAGCAAAACAAATTTATCATTCCTCTAACATCGACCTGGAAAAAATACTTCAATCTCTGGATGGTATTACTGGTCGGTTACAGCTGCTTTTCCACCGCTTTCTAGTAAAATAATTAGTTTCTTATAGATTTTTTAGTGTTGCATTTGGGTATCCATCTAATTAACTTGGTGTCTTAGTAGTGGACTATTTCGTCCTTGCTTTCTTTATCATAGATATCATTTTAGGTAAATTTATTAGGAAGCAAATGATCATTTAGAATTCTTTACTTAGTATTAAGATTTAGATTCTCAGGAAATAGTCAGTGATCAGAAGAAAATAGCGTTAAAGTATGTTAAAAGCTATCTCGTAATTGATTTGATTGCTACATTTCCTTACGAGTTGGTTACCAATAACTACTACACAACCCTTTTTAGACTTTTCCGTCTATTTAGAATCCATGAAGTTCTCGCCTTACTTGATTTTTAGAAAATAAGGCCATTCATTGAATTTTTCTTTCAAGAGGACTCTAGAAAAAGAAGAATTGTCGTTACCTTCTTTCTGATGAATATATTTTAAATATTTAGTTTAGTTCTTACTACTATTACTATTCTCTATTTTCTAGGATGTATCTGGTATATGTAAGTCTTAATGTTTAGTTAATACTCTTTTGTGTAGTATAAGTGACACTTTGAATACTGATTACAATATAAACAATGACATCTCTTATGTAGAGACTTTTGGCCAAGATTAGTATACTAATGACTATGAAAGATTTATTACAAGTAGCTACTTCATAATAACAACACTAGCAGTTATCGGATATGGAGATCTATATCCAAAGACAAATATTGAGAAAATATTCGATATTTTAATTATGATCTTAGGTGTTGCATTTTTCTCGTATATTATGGGGAAATTCATTAACATTGTACATGCATTCGATGATCTTACTGAAGAGAAAGATTAGTCAGCTTAATAATCCATGAGTTCTAATATAGATGTTCATTAATGGCTTAACTTACTTAATAGATTTACTAAGAAGAAGACTATTAAGAGAACTTTGCAGATTGAGATAGACGATCACTTTAAGCATTATTGGTAAAATGATAGATTAGCTCAAATTACATCAAACACTGAATTTCTTAAAGCATTGCCAAGAGTTGTCAAAAAGAATATAATGGTCTAATTTCTTTACGATGATGTCTTCTATAAATTCAAGAATTTCTTTAAAACTAGAAAAAATCTTGAATCAAAGTTTCTTTACGATATATCATTCAACTTAAAGCCAAGGCAATTCTTCCCTGAAAGTCACAGATGCATCATTTATGACGAGGAAGATGAAGTACCTGAGATGTATTTTATTCAAAAAGGTCAGATTGGAGTTGGATTCTATATGTTCTCAAAGAATCCGACTGATTAAAGTTACAGAATAGGCCTCTTGATAAATGAAGGTAGTTTTATCTGTGATTATTATGTTTGCCAAAATAAGAAATCTCAATTTGTATATGCTGCTCAGAAAGAAGTTCATGCATTCTCTCTATCAAAAAGATACCTATAAACCTATATCTTCGATAAATATCCAGACATTGCAGTAGAAATCAAAGAGGATTCTCTTCATAATTATAAAGAAAACATCATGAATAAAATGATAAAGTTGAGGCAAGAGCATTTAGAGGAGGTAAATAAAATATCTACCTACAAAATGATTAACGTCTAGCAAAGAGAAGACTTTAATCATGATGATTTAGAGTCAAGTCTAACTCTTTCAGATAAATCTAAGAACGATATAAATTTCATGCTTTAGAGAAGAATTATGGTTATTTAAGATGAGATGCAAAGGCTAAACAAAAATTTGAAGGATTTTGTTCAATCAATCGATGTTGAATATGCTAAATTCTTAAATAACATTCAAACTCTCCATCAAGCTTAAACTAGGCTGAGATCTTACAGTTTTAAGAACCCTGTACACCAAAATTCAACTATTAACAACAGCAAATGGGCATCATCTATAAATGCTGATTTAAGATAAAACAAGAAACATGCTTGAATTAAAGCATCAAATCATAAGACTTATCAATGAAATATGAATGAAGAAAGAAAGCATTAACTATTTTCCAGGATACCATGAAATGATTATTAGATTTAAATCTTTTTATTCATTTTTATTTCATTAAAAACTCTATGATAAAGGAAAAAGCATTTAACGGGGTTTTGGGGTTTTGGGGTTTTGGGG